GGGAGTTCTGCGAACGGCGGGGATACCGCTGGGCGTACTCCTGACCGCAGCAAGAGGCGGGTCCCAGGGACGCAATCATACCCATTGGGCGGCAGGTTTGCAACCCGTACCCTAGCCTTCACTGGCCAAGGGTGGACAGGCGGCCACAACGCATAGGTACTGCGCCCTGCTACTCACTATTCCACCACTAGTGTACCCTTGCACCCCTCCTTCCGGTCATCGCCTAGCACTTCCCCTTGCCCCGTTCGCCACCGCTACTTCCCCACTACACCCCCCTAGTTAGCTCGAGCCTTGTGCTCACCATGTACAGCCGAACACCCACTTCTTACTCACGTCGATAGTGTTTGTAGTTTAAGGCCTACCATGAGGCGCGGCCTCGCAGGGCAATAAACGGGATCTAGAAAGAAAGAAAGAACACCTTGTCGAAGTCGAGCTCAGAGGACATCACACTACGGGCCGGTCGTTCGTTCAGCCAGAAGGGGTGGCCAGATGCGCACGGCGTGTCGTGCCGCAGCGGAGAAGACGGTCGTGTATGTGTCGAGTCGGAGGTGCCCGGTTGCGGACAGGTACTGGAGCACCGTGCAGAATTCGTTGACCGCGTCGAAGTCGGAGTCGTAGATCTCGAAGGTGTCGGTGTTGATGCCTATGTCGATGTCGGTGTTGGCGTCAGTGTCGGCCGCCGTCGGTGTCGATGTCTGTCGAAGTCGAAGTCGAGGTTGAGGCAATTGCAAGACCAAGATCGGCGGAAGCGGCCGAAGGCACGAAGTCGGTCGGAGGAGTCGGAGGAGTCAGGTCGGTCAGATTGGTCGGAGTCGAGTCGGCTTCTTCAGCGACGGTAAGTTTGGCATCGGTCTCCTCAACTTTTGTCTCCCCCAGGATCACAAAAAGAGTGTGTAGCCACCATCTCTCTCTGCGAACCTGCGATCTTCGGTTGGGACGATGAACAGGATATCGTCGGTGGGGTCGTCGAGCTCCTCACCGTCGGGCTTGCTGTCGGTGTGGTCGGGTGTTGTCCAATCGGAGAAGAGCTCTTGTTCGACTTCGTCGGCCCAGTGGATAGGGCTCGATGATGCCAATGGGTCGTCAGCAGCAAGGGGACACTCCGTCCGGGAGGGAAAGATGACATAGTCACGTCCCCGCCACAGGTTGGAGCGTGAGGGTCAATTGGGAAAGCCTGAGCAAAGTGAGACCGTGCGCTGCGCAATGACATCAGCACGGGTCTCAACACAACCTTGCAGCTTGACATCGCCAAAACGATGGCACTCTCCAAATCCAAGATCCTAGTAAGAGGAGGCAGGGGTCATCTACGTCTGCGCCAGCGTGACAGATGCAGAGGGAGGGTCTAGGTGGGAGGAGGCAGAGGGGCAATCTGTTGCACGTGCATTCTAGACCTCTATGCCATGTGCGTCCTGGAGAGTGACAAAGTCATTCTGTCCGGGCACTCCTAATAGATAAGAGAATATCTGTCATAGGAGTTCTGGTGGAAAAGAGTGGAACATTGTAGTTGCGTTTTGGCATGTGTAAGGCGGTACATTATCTGCGTAGTCGTCTGCGACCTCCCGCTGCTCCATTGCAGTCATACAGGTGGTGATCTGAACGAGGGTAGGGAGGTCGCCCGGGGGGGCCTGAGGCCGACAGAGCAATCGTTTTAAATTTCCTCGGCTCGAACTGAGGAGGATGAGTCAAAGCTCGTAGACAAGGGATATAGGGGCTACGCAACGTACTTACCCATAACAATATATTGCGTATTAGCCCATGGCTCAGTGTGGAATATGCATGCAAGGTCGTACGCAAGGCTGTCGCAAGCACCGGTCCTAGGAGCGGCTCAATAGGAGGAAAGACCACGAACACCAAGGCAATGTCAAGGAAGGACCTAGCCATTGAGGATCAACGGGATAGACAACCTGCCCGGCGAGCCTGACGGGCCTCCTGTAAAGTAGATCCGTGTCTTGAGAACAGTATTCTATGTGAGATACTTGGAAGGGGGAGGCCGGCGTGCTCGCATCTCGGAGCGACCTGCCAACACTCTCTGCCGCAGGAGAAGATATGTAGGGCATTCGGACGCGAGAGGTGAATGCTGCTATGAGTCCAGGGACTCCAAAAGAGAGATGGCTCCTGATGAGGGACATGAGAAGAGGGAGAGATCCAGAACGACGAAGAAACCCGCGGGGTCATGGGTCTGGAGAGACATCCACACCGCGGGGCATGCGGTCGCAACGGAGCGCTGATGCTTGCAGAACAGGGTCGCCCGGATCAGGGTGACATTACTCCCTGGACGTGACAATTGGGCGTATATCTCCACGAGGACCGCAAACAGGAGAAAGGACGCTATACTTGGGATGCCCAGAGGTGTCCACAAACCTTACAGTAAGTCCCTGAGGTCAGATTTTGCATCAACAGCTTTAAAGGCTTCGCTTTCCTGGATATACGCCCCTCCGTGTCATAAAGGGATAGGATAGGATGGGCGATACGGCTAAGTATGCAAGACCCACCTGACTGTGACATCAGCCTGAGCCTAGTGCTATCGAGACGTACAGCTCGCCACTTACCTCTAAAAACAAGTAAAGGAAGTATGGGGCGACTCCCCTATGGACGATCAAGATGGCCGTTGTGGCTGGAATATAGGCCGCTATTATGGACACTGCACCGGATCAGCACAAGCTCAAAGGTTCTGGCAAACGTACTACACGTCAATATAGCATCCAGGTTGTCTAGCATAGTTCTTGGTAGACTTCCAGGCGCATGCGAGCTACCATATTCGTCCTCTCGTTCTAGGATACATATACACCTAAGTTCGGATACGGGTGAGCTGTCAGTACGTGTCCGAAGTGATGGAAATGGAGGACATATGGCTGTGGCTCAGAACCAGAGTCTGTAGTGTTGTCCGGTTTTCGATTCATGCTCCCAAATGGACCCGGGATCGTATATGTGCGCCTTTTGTTCCATTGTCTCGCCATTCAGCGAGCTTCCGGCCACCACAAATTCCGAGGGCCCCAGGTCAGCGCCTATATCTGAGACATGACACCTGCCCAGACCTCTAAGTAACAAGAATGGCAGATCCGCATGCAAGGTATCGCTCACTGACGTTGAGCGTCCAGGGACCAGCAGGGGCAACCACGCCGCCATACGACGAACTCGGAAATCGAGGACCGTCGACGTCGGCACAGGCCACGGCGGTCTATCCGAAGCTTCGCCATCAGCAACAGAGGCCGAGAGAGCCGCACGGATGCAGAGATGCGAGATTGGGATAGAGATGGACATGGCACGGCCGCAGCGTCTCGCGAGTCCGGTGATCAGTCGTTTGAGGGGCCTCTGCCCTTTTCTTCTTTGCTTTGCGCTTCTGCCACTGCTCCGTCGCGCAAGTGCCTCCCGGACCACGTTAGCCATAGACAAAGCTATACCCTAATATTCTCGCTGTCTGTCCTTCCTCGCACGCTCCTTTGACTCCCCCTCGCCCTCCCGCACCGCCTAGCGACGACTCGACATCCCAGCGCGGCCAAGACGCAAGGCAGCCCGCACACGACCACCAATTCATGGAAGACAAGAGAGCGCAAGGAGCTGGTATCCCGCGGCCCCACGTGTCCCACACCTTGGACGCAAGTCATGCCCTCGTCACGTCGCCCGTCTTGCACCCGATTGCGCTCGCAGTCCTCCGGCTCACGCTCGCAACGTACGCACTCTTCGTCGGACTGTACCAGTTGATCGAAGAAGCAGTCAAGGAACATGACGCCGGAACGTAAGTACATTCGCACACACATCTGCACCTTTCCATTCCCGCCCTCGGAGCCGAACTCAAGACGCTGACCAAATGCTTTAGGTTCTTCTCGTACTTTACGCACCTATCGTATATCGGCTTGATCGCGTACATGTACGCAGCGGGCGTACAAACGCTCTGCTATGCGCTGAACCGGAGAAAAGGATATCCCCTCCAGCAATGGCCGCGCGTTCTCCAACACCTGCACATACTGCTGTACTCTACTATCACTACCTATCGTAAGTCTTCGCATTTCAATTATCACGGACCGCGGAGTGACATGGGATCCATATAGCAATGGTGGTCACTGTAATATTTTGGGCACTGCTGTCAGACTCGGACACGTTCTCAACCACACTGAATGGCAAGTGGCTCAGCCCACCCTCCGCACCGGACGTAACCTCATCGTATTCTGCCTTCTAGCTTGGTTCAACATTTCCGAGCATGCCATGAACACTGGATACGCTCTCTTTGAGATCTTACTCACCAACGCCGGCCCGAGCCCATGGTGGCACCTCCCCGCCTGCGTCGCTATGCTCGCATGCTACCTCGGTGTCGCGTATATCACCCACGCGACGCAAGGCTTCTATAGTACGTTTTTCTTCCTTGCTGCCACCCTTCGACCGCTGCCCCTGAGGCAGCCACTTGTTATCGCATTTGCGAGTCGAATATGATCCGACGGACTCACCTGCACTCCCTCGACAGCCTATTCGTTCTTAGACCCTGGAAAGGAGCACGCGAAGCTCGCTGGCTACATCATCGCCGTCGGCGTAGCGGAATGTGTCGCGTTCGTCCTCGCCCGGGGCCTCACCTGGATCCGCATGCGGCTCTCAAGACGCATGTCCTACGCCTCCTCCAGCGACACCGAGGTCGAGCCAGCGATAGATGAGGATTGGCAGGAGATCGGGAGGCCAGGGTCTTCGGTCGGGTACGCAGTATGACGGCCCTCGCTGCCGTTGATAGCGACGCTCCGAGAGGGGCAGCGATGATCGGGGCACCAGGAACGGGCAGCAGCAACAGGCGGCGTAACCCTGTATGTGAATAAGTGCAATAGCGTGGTGGTGGTGCTGCTGGCCGGACATCCAAGTGTACTATATGCGTCTCTTGAGGCTGAATGGCATCCAGTGTCGTCTGGGTATGCAATGCGCATAGTTGTTCTGCATCCTCGACAGATGCGCACCTGATGCACGCCGTGTGCGGATCCTTGTAGTCTACATCTAGCCGTGCAGTCCCATAGCTGTCAAATAGTCCCGCCGAGTCATCGGCATGTACGTTGATTCGATATTGCCTAGAAGTCTGATACTAGAAGCGGCGACAATGAAGCCATGAATCGAATCGAGAGGCAACTCGGCAAAGCAATGGGACAGATCTGTGAGAGAAAGAAGACGTGACAAGTCAAGCCGGCCATGATGCGTACAAAAGTGACAAGCCGGGGGAAGGGGGAAAGTGTGATCAGAGCCCGACGAGTGTGCCTGAAGCGCGAGGCATAAATGTGCCAGGAGGACAAAGGAGAGTTCCGACGACCTATGCAGCAATGATGGCTGGGCGACAGAGGCCGTCGAGGACAGGAGAGGGGCTTCGGGCGGCGATGGTTGGGGGTAGAGGAAGAGCTGCAGCAGAAGCTGAGTGAGCAGGCCAAGAGGCAGAGGCAGAGCAGAGCGACAGCAGCCCACTCGTCGCGCCTGCGCGCAACCCTTTGCCACCCTCCACGCCTCTCGCGCCATCCTCTGCTGTCCTCCCCCTCCCCCTCCCGCCGGTCTTCCTCGCGCATCCCTGGTTTCCTGACGATAGCACTGGGCTGAGACCGCTTCTGAGCGCACGAGTTGGCATCGTGAGGCCCAGATCCAGTTTTTTCCTGCGCACTACCGACGACTAAAGCGACCGTGCTGTCATATCCGCGCGGTCGAGGAACGGAGAACCGTGCGCACCGAACACCCCAGACGAGCTTCCGGGGCCAAACCATATACCGGTCGTCCGTTTCAGACCACGAGCGAGCCGAGGAACGGCCTGAAGAGCAGAAAGATTTGAGTCGTAGCGAGTGCGGCAGAGCTGGAATGCCATGCCGGCCTTCGACCCTGTCCGCGATGCCGTCCTTAACTCTCCCATAACCTCCTCCCTCGCCCTCCCCTCCTCCGCGCGTATGCACGTCGACACCGCGGCCTCGACCAAGTCCTCTCATCCGTCAAGCTCGTACCACCATCCGCAGTCGTCCGTGGGCAGAGCTGGTATGTCGATTATCACGTCTCCAGGATCCGTGACGACCTCCCCGTCAGACTCCAGTCCAGGAGCATCGCTCGTCAGCCCCCTCACACGCCGTGCTACTGATCTTTCCATGCTGCTCAACTCGGACCCGCCAGCGATGGACACGCCCTTGTTCACGCCTACGACACCCCGTGCTCCCGCGACGCTGTCGCACCTCCTCCTGCCTGACTCTGAGGACCACACGGACAATGACCAACTCTCCCATATGACACCCCTACGGAGGAGGTCGTCCGCCGCCATGTCCGAGGCCTCAGTTGCCGCAGCACGGGAGCGTGAGCCCTCATACTTCACGCATCCAGGCAGCATAAACGCGCGCCCATCTGCATCGTCTGTGGCGTTCCAGGATGGGCCGTCTGACGCCAGGGACAGACCGGCGACACGGGAGCGCGAGTCGTTCAACCTCGCATTGCCTGGTGCCATGAACGTCGCGACACCCATCGTGGCGAGCAGCGCGACTATACTCGCGTTTCCATCAAGCTCAGGGTCCCGGCCGTCAACAGCGGTATCGACCGGCTCTGGGGCCGGGCCCACCTCGAGGCCGTCCACCGCAGGACAGGCTACAGGTACAAGTACAAGTGCGAGTGCAAGCGCGAGCACGGGGTCCATGCGTCCTCCGGCACAGGCGCCGCAACGGTCCCCTGTGGCCTCTACGTCTTCGCTTCCCACCGCTTCAGCTTCCATGGCGCCACCACCCCAACGTGCTCCCCGCCCGGCCTCCCCAAGTAAGCCACTGCACTCGGCTGCTGCTGCCCAAATTCCTCCGCCTGTCTCTGCATCACCCGCATTTTCTGTAACCACCCAGCCTTCTGCACAGAGCACCTCATCTGCGTCGCATGCGCCGCGGAGACCATCGCCTCCCCAGCAGAGGAAAACCACCGGCAACGGCGTGACTTCCAAGCCACCACCAACGTCTTCTCTTCCACCCCCTTCTTCCAGCCTACCGCCTAAACCCATGCCGCCGCCTTCGCCTCCCCCGTCCCAGCTGAGACGCAGCGCCATCCCGTACGCGCCGCGCAGGATCACCCCTGCTAGCTCCGTCCTCGTCCCTCTCTCGCCAGCAGAGATGGAGCGGTACAGGAATTACACGGGTGGGGTCGGGACGACGATCCTCCGCAAGCAGAAGCGAGTCGAGAACCTCCTCGGCGACGGACTCGGCAAGCGTGAACGTTCACCGGACTCCGAGGAGAGTCCGCGGAAGAAACGGCGGGCAGGCGACGTCGCCGTCGTCGTCGAGCATTGTACGTGTCCCTTAACCTCCTGACGTCATTCTATCGGATCCAGTCCCGCTTGACATGTTCTCACCTGCTTTGGATCCTACTAGACAATGCTCGACCAGACGTCGGGGTCGCACAGAGACAAGAGTCGCCGATCATCGGCCTCAAGAGTTTCAACAACTGGGTCAAGAGCGTCCTCATCACCCGTTTCGCGCATCCGGCTTTCGCCGACTCCCCCAGTGCGCGAAGAGGCACGCGAATGCGGGGCCGTGTGCTTGACATGGGCTGTGGGAAGGGCGGTGATTTAACAAAATGGGCCAAGGCCAATGTGGCCGAGTTGGTCGGGCTTGGTACGGTCATTCATTCCAATTTGTATTCAGATACCCCGCTAACCGCATATTGACAGATATCGCCGCTGTTTCTATTGACCAGGCGCGACAGCGGCATGCTACTTCCAAGGGGGCACGCTTCACCGCGTCGTTCTTCGCACTTGATTGTTACAGCCATTTGCTTTCCGACGAGCTCCCTCCGACGCTCCTGTCGACACCGTTCGATGTCGTGTCCATGCAGTTTTGTATGCACTACGCGTTCGAAAGCGAGACCAAAGCCCGCACGATGCTACGGAATGTCTCGACCTGGCTGCGTCCACAAGGCGTGTTTATAGGGACAATCCCCGATGCGAAGCAACTAATGTGTGTATCCAGTCCTCGCGCCCTCGGCGACGGCGCAGCGTCATTCGAGTGTCGAGCACGAGTGCTCATCTGCCTTTTCTGTCACAGGGACCAACTGGACGCGTTACCGGCAAACTCCAAGGACCTCTCTTTCGGTAATAGCGTGTACAAAATCCGCTTCGAGGACCGCGAGACCCGGCCAGTCTTCGGCCATCGGTATTGGTTCTACCTCCAGGACGCCGTTGAAGACGTGCCTGAATACGTAGTCCGCTGGGACAACTTCGTACAGTACGTCACCGCTCTCCATACACCGCCCCTGGTGCCAGACTGACGTACGCTCTGCACGCTAGGCTTGCCGCCGAGTACGGGCTCCACCCTATCTACAAGAAGGAGTTCCACCAGGTGTTCGAGGAGCACCACGAGCAGCCGGAGTTCGCCCCGCTGCTCCAACGCATGCGCGTCGTCGACGCGAACGGCGAAAGCCAAATGGACGAGGACCAGTGGGAGGCTGCGAGTACGCTACCCGTTTCTGCACCATCTTCGTGCGGTGCGGTGCTGACCCCTTTCCAGATATTTATATCGGGTTCGCTTTCCAGAAGCGATAAAAGCGCATGCCGGGCTGGTGCGCTCGTCACGCCTTGGGTACCTTCATCCTCCACTCCAGCTCGCAAGGGGGCTTCCGGTCTCGTCCTACTGTACCCTAATATCGTAAGTTCGTATCGGCAGCTATGTGCTCGTCTTGCTTTGGCGCTGTTGTCGTCTTCGTCTCCGCCCTTGTCCTCGTAGCCCGCCCCGCACATTTTTCTATGTCTCGTACCGCCGTGTACATGTTATGTATCGAGTACAGTATGTGTTTCACCCTTGTACCTCCGCTATGCTGGCTATGAAGAACGAGCACCGCCCCAATAGTTCCCGGGCATCTATGGATCCGAATGTGTACCTCTGCCGTTGGACTTCTAAACCCCTTCCTGGTGCGCATAAGACCCATGCCGTGGCGATCGGTAACGCTTCTCGTCACCGCGTCTTAATGTCGATCGCTTCTGTATAGGTGCATGTGGGCCCTCGAACGGTGATCTCAGCGATCGAGGAGCTTCTTCACCTCGGTAACGAATCCCAACAAACACCTCGTGCCCGTGAAACAAACCATCGCAGCGGCACAACCGCCAGGCCGCAACCGCCTTGAGACCGGACACAGCGCACGCAGCGTTCGACAGCGTGGGGCAAGTGCGATAATATAATATATATGTGCGGGTTTGATACGTATCAGACGTGGAGATCTACCATGCGTGCGACGAATGCTACTAGACTTTCGCGGAGAAAGAGTCTGTGATGTGTAGTTGTTGTTGTTGGATGGGAGCATGTCTGGGGTACGCGTACCTCCGGCCATCGAGGAATAGGTCGTCAATGGTACGTAGGCAAAGACAGTCACCCCAGACTGGAGGGTGAGTGTCGATGATGCGGGGTGTGTCGATGAGGAGTGCGGGAGGCGGACGGGGTGATGAGGGTAAATGGTAACTATGTCCATGGACGAGGCAAACAACACGAGTCCAGGCAGCACGCCGCTCGCGCCCCGCCTGACCCCCTACGCCACGCTTGCAAAGCTGGAGCAGCAAGGACAGAAGGGAGGAGCAAACATGCAGCACACAGCGAACGGAAACAGGGGTGCGGGACGAGACGAACAAGACGAATGCCGTGCCGCGTGCGAAGGAGAAGGAGGTCACGGAGGCGATAGATAGGACACACCGGGACGGAGACAGAGAAGGGTGAGGCAGAGACGAACATGGGACAGGGAACGAGGAGATACACGAAGTGAGACAGAATAGAGCAAGGGCTAAAACTGACAGATCTTGGTGACCGTCCATGTAGACATACATATATGGCTGACAAATGGTGTGAAGATGGGACCAAGAAGGGACACGCGGCGAGTATGATGAGAGATAGATGTTGACGGGAGGAGAGAGACGAGAGGCATGTGGTGGAGTGAACGGTAGAGGGTGAAAGTCCCGGCACAGCGTACGTAGCGAACAGCGAACAGACGATCGAAGCGAAAGCGCCGTCAACGTTAGCAGCAGGTGCGAGACCAAGGGGAGGAGAAGTTGATGCGATCCGGAAGAACATGAGGTTCGAGTATGGGTTTTCAGCTTTTCTGACCGACCGACCCCACGCCGACCCACCGTGGACGACCAGCAAGCGCGACCGCGACAGCGTGCCAAGAGCGGGACAGCAACCACGAGGGACAAAAGAGTAGAGAGATCCGGCAAGACGAGAAGGAGAGCTAAGCGCGTCTGCGCGAGTGGCATAACGAGCGTCGTCAACGAGAGGCGTTCCATAGGCATGGCGGGCATGCGGGTGATTCGTGTCCTCCGCGCGAGGTAGTGCGAAGGGTGATTCCGTGAAGTGTGCGACATATCGGTGTGTATGTGTGTGTGGTGTGGTGCGACGCGGCGACGTTCTGCTCAAGCGACGACGATATTCTTCTCAGGTTTTATGGTGTGACTGCGACGTGCCCAACGCTGCAAAGCGACGACGAAAAGTCTAGTAGCCCATAGTCATGCGCGAAGGCCCATACGTCTCCGCCCGCGCGAGCGGCACCCGCCCGATCTTCTTGCCCTTATACACCACGTTCTTCGTCGGCGGCGGGCACGGGCTGTCGCCAATGTCCGTGTCGCCCCCGTCGCTCTCGTAGTCGACGCTCCCGTCCTCCGCGAGCGTCTGCAGCCCGCCGCGCCGCGTGCGCGCAGCCGTCGCCGCAGCGAACAAGCTGCCCGAGCCGCCCGTCGGCGCAGAGGCACGCTTCGGCTGGGCCGCCTGCACCTGCTGCGCGGCCGAGGTCATCGAGAGCATCTTCGCCTCGCCGTACGCGTACGACTTCGTGCGCCCGAACTTGCCCTTGCGGAACTGGTCGAGGTCCTCCTTGCGCGACGCCGCGTAGTTCGGGTCGTCCATGCGCACGTAGTTCGGCGGCTGGCAGCGCTGGCGGGACTCGGAGAAGTACTGCGAGTAGCCGCCCTCGAGGATGTACACCTCGGGGTAGTGCACGCGCGGGTAGACGTGGTTGTTCATCGCCCTATCCTTGGAACGGAGGTGCTTAGCACTGGCGGGAGGGTCAGCGCGCGATACGTGGAGCATGGCCAAGTGAACGACTCACAATGTCGGAGCTCTCTTGACACTAAACTCACAGTGGAACACCAGGATCGTCTTCATGCTCGCGTCGCCGCTCGTCGACGGCTGCGGCTTGCTCGCCGCCATGCCGAGCAGGTATTCCTCGACGCCCGCGGTCGTGTTGATGTTGATCGCGCCCGGGATGTGGCCGCCCAGGTACTCGTAGTCGAACCTACAGTCGATGATCACGTACTTCTCCAGCTGCGAATTGTACTTCCCGTCCAACAGCTCGTTCAGCTACGTGCACGCATCACGGTCAGCTCGCCCCTCAACCAGCCAGCGAGCACAGAAAGCGCCTACCGTCGTCGGGTTGATCCTCATCAGCCCATCCTCGCGCACGCGATGGCACGGCAGAATCTTCCCGTGCGCCTCGTTATCTCCGAACCCGCCCAGCCCAGGGCCCGCGTTCAAGTACTTGCTCCGCGGCGTATCGCGCTCCGCGACCGTCCGCGTCCTGTTCTCCCTCTCCTCGCTCCTGCGCAGCCCGCGGCCCGCGGCGTCCGTGTCGCGCTTCATGAGCGCCGTCACGCCCGTGATCGGGCGGAAGTCGTCCGTCCCGTCGCACCTCCGGATCGTCTTCACCTGCTGGCGCTTCGCGTACGCCTGCGCGGGCGAGCTCAGGTCCGGGTCCTGTTCGAAGCTCGCGTCGCTCGACATGCTGTTGTCGAGCAGGTTCGGGGGCAGCATCGCCGAGAACGCGCGACGGACGGGCGGCAGGCGGTGGACGACCTCTGCTGCGCCCTCCTCGCTGTCCTCCTGGTTGGTCATGATCGGGTAGGCGGTGTTCGGGTGCGGCGAGCTCGACGAAGGGCCTTCGCCGGGGGCGATCATGGCGCTAAGCGCAGGACGACGGGGACGCTTCTTGTTCGCGTTCAGCGCAAGAGCAGGCGGCATGCCGAGACCAAGACTCGCAGGCTTCTTCTGGTTAGTGAGCAGAGAGCTGCTCGCCATACGCTCAAGCTTATGCGCGGACGGCGACGACTGTGCAGGTGACGACGTGTAGCCATGATCCTCATCCTCGAACAGATGCTGGTGGCTCTGACGGAGGCTCAAGCTCTTACGGTCAGGCGAGGACGAGCGGCGCTTCTTCGGGAACGGCTGGGATGGGCTCTCACCGATGCTGGACACTCCAGAAATGTCGGCCGCTTCCGCTAGCACGTTCTCGCCGCGAGAAGGAGCGGAGATCACGTCGTAGAACAGGTTATTGAACGTCGTCACTGTGGGGGCCGCAGAGATGGGCGACGACGGGCCGAAAGAGGAAGGTGCAGCACCGAAGTTGAACGCAGTGATCGTGGGGGCGGCTGAGAGTGGACCCTGTGCGTCGGGCGCTGACGAGGCCAAACTGAACGAAGTGTCGACATCCATACGATCCGTCGGCGACGACGGGATGTCGACAGGCTGACGGTTGAGGTGTTAGTCAAACGATCAATGATCGAGCACGCGGGGTGTGGTTATGAACGGAACCACACTGACCTGGCTGAACGCGTTCTCATCGTGCTGAGGGGTCGGCATGGCGAGCCACTCAGTAGGCAGCGCAGCGCGCTGGAGACGCTTGCCGCTGCTAGTCCCCATGCCTGACTTGGAAACGGAGGTGTCGGAGAACTGAGAGCTGCTGTCGTGGCCGTTGCTCATGTCGCGTCCGAAGAGCCGTGCGGCGCTGGTAGCCGCGCGTGGCCGACCTACCAATGGCTTTGGGTTCAGAGTTTGCATGATGGGCTGAGGGGGCGGTTGGAACACGCGAGGAGGGGCGGGGGAGATGTCCATCGGAACGTGGTCGGGATTCTCTTCCTCGGGCGTCAGTGGTTGGGAGTCTCTTGCGGGCGAGTTCAGAGACATGGTCGACGCGAAGGAAAGCTCGAGGTCCAAGTCTACGTCAGGCCCGAGAAGCTGGGTTTCGTTACGTGAAGGGGCATCGCGCTTAGTGCTGCCCTTGCCACCGAAGATGGAGGGGACGGAGAGGTGAGTGTTGAATTTGGTGTTACCGAAGAGAGACATAGGGAACTGTCTCCTGAATTGCTTGTCGAGTACGCGTCTCTTGAGGTCGGGCGGGCTTCTCTTCTGCTTCTTCGCTGGTCGCGGTGGTTCTTGCTCGTGGTCTGGAAACAGTCGACGCCGGAGTTGTTGAGGCATGCCGAAGAATGTACGAAATATGATACAGCGTAGAGCAACGATACAGTCGTTGGAGGCGTCGGAGGGTCGTGAGCGAACGTGAGCCGCGTGCAGGGCCGAACCGCAAGACGTCGGAGACGCGACGAGACAAGTCAAGGTGAAGGTGGTCAGTTGGAGAAAGGACGCGTTTATACGAACGCGAAAACGAACCAACGACAAATCGGGGCAATGACCCAGATCGTGGCTCAGCGCGGCTTTGTGCTCGGGCCTCGGCAACTGCAATGGAGAGAGATTAGCACCGGCGTGGAGGGATTGATGGGTAAGACGGAATAGGAAGTCAAATCAAAACTATTGTCCGCCAGAACGAGGAAACACAGGAGCCGAAGGGCAAAGGCGGAGTCTCGTAGCGGATTGTCCGCTCAATATGGTAAGAGACACGGGATCCTGGCGGAGCGGCAAGATCCTGGGGTGCGGATTCACTGGCGACAAAGGACGGCCAAAGCGTATGGCTCCTCGCTTTATAAGTCCTCGCATCGTTCCGTGAAGATCTCAAGCTCACTGGCACGAAGGTCGTTACGTCTCCCTCGCAACGGACGGCGCAATCCAATCCAACGGTATGGACGAGCGAAAGGGTCCGGTGCTTAGCAGGGATGTGAACGCAATATGGACACGATTTACTGCGAACTCTCTCTCGATGAGGTACGTACGGTGACTACCCGTGCTCTGTAGCTGACAAGGCTAGGTCAGCCAAGCCGTAGGAACGGTGAACTCGACGACAAGGTCTGCATGCAGTGATGTGCTGTCTAGCGTCCCGAAGGAGACCTGGTCCGGCGTACGTAGCGGCAGAACTGAGAGGGAGAGGGATAAAGCAAAGGGGGACTGGAAAGCGGACCGACCTTGTAAGGAAGGAGTGTGAGACGGAGGAGGCCGCGCCTTGAGGGAGGCAAGAAGAGGTCAGCAATTGTGGACTCTGGGACAAAGCGGAGGCTTGAAGCGAGCGGGATTCTCACGAGAAGTGAACAGAGGGGTCGGGCCAAACAAAGGTGTAGACGTGTGTGGGTCCACCCGTGCTGGGCGCTGCGGGTGATCCGGGACCGCGGCGGGGCAAAGAAAGGGGAAGAACGGGTATCTGAGGGAGAATTGCGCGCGGAAGGCTGAGAAAAGAGAGGCGTCGCAGGGGATGTCGGGGCAGATATGTCGCAGCGAGGAGAGCGGGAGTGTGTGCGGCGGCGACCTTCGCCTTTGTTTGCGCGTTGTTTGGTCCATGTTCGTATGCTGACGTAAGCCGCTATTGTTCCCCTCTGTGCGTGACCGCGTCGAACTGGTCGAGGCGCGTCCCCGCCACCCACTCCCTCCACCGCCGGTATATGACGGTGGAATAAATATTGATTACTGCACAACATTCACCTGAACATACCATGGCCCCCACGGGCAAGGCGCCCAGCGTCGACCCCCTCTCCCAGTCCCTCCCCACTGAGTGCGCCAAGCGCAGGGACCAGGCCCCTACGCCCTCCTCTCGACAAAGTTCGCGCCCGCCTCCCCGGGCTTCGCATACAAGGGCTACAGGCTCACCTCCTGGTCCGACGCCGAGGAGACGCTCGTCAAGACCGCCAACGCCGGCGAGGTCCCCAACAATGTCGAGGCCGCCCTCCGCGACGAGGGCGCCGACATGCTCACGGGCACCGACAAGAAGCTCGCCGGCACCACCGTCGACCGCGAGGTCGTCTCTGGCGCCAATCCCATGGCTGCCAACGCGCTCGGTGCGAAGTTCGTCGAGATGCTGAAGGCCCGCTAAGGGTGTCTTGTTCGACACGAGTCCACGTTCTGTAGCGATAGCCCTGTATGCCTTGCTGTACAAACAGGACATACATATACCTTGTACCATAGTCGCAATCCAGCACAATTACTTATTCTAACGTCACCGTTCCATCGGTGTACCGGTAGCGGCGTCTGCAAGTACACACCCTGCGAGGTGACATCATTTTGGATTGCTATCAGGCCGCACCCGCGTCCATGATTCGCCCACAGTACAGTACGTGACCTCTCCTCCGTGAATCCGCGAACTCACGGATCGTACATCGACTCCACAATAACGTCGCTCGCCGCAGCCCCCGCGCTCGGCGCACAGTCGCTCGTCAGCAGCCCACCCCGGCCTCCTCCTCCGTCGGCGCGCAGCCGCCTATCCCACAGGTTGAGGCAGATGCGCGACACCAGCGTGCTGGACAGCCTGCCGAACAGCAAGCGCAGGTCAATAACTGGTACTCGCTGGGAGAGGCAGCCCCTGCTCACGCGTTGCCCAGAGTGGTCGCGACCCCGTGATCCCTGTCGTCGAACTGCTGTGTGTCAGATAATGTGTGGAGGGGGGGGCGGAAGGGGGGGTGGGGGATGCAGCCAACAACACGGCCGCCGCCAACTACGTACGTGAGGGGCCTGCATCGACGCCCGTCAGCGATGGGCGGCGCGCGATCCCAGACGGCGTGTTGGATCTCACCACGAATGTCACGAGATTGGCTACGCCGACGGCTACGAGGATGCTGGCGAGACGTTGAGTCGTACAGCGGAGACCTCGACGTCGTGGTACACGCACCCGTAGTAGATCGCACCTCCACGGAGATCGAGCGTCAGCGAGCCTCGAGGCGCAGCACAGGCCGTACAGCCCTCACCGTCACGGAAGAGGGTCCTCAACGGCTCGTGGTGCAGATAGCTGCGCCGCATTTTCACCGTCCTGACGAGCGTGAGGACGAAGATCGTGGTATCCAGGCAGAGATTGGCCATCCAGCCCACGGAGCGGCCTATGTAGAGTGAGTGGTGAACCGTCAGAACAGACTCGTGGACACAGCCCAGGGCCATGTGCTCACTCAGGGCTCTGCGCGCAAGGTAAGGCCTCGATGCTGTCGCCAATAGGCACGGGAATGTACGCACTGCTCGTGGGTCAAGGCGAGGTCGCAGACGTCGAACAAAACCTCGAGGCCTGTCGACGAGGTGACGGTAGTCGTCTTCATGAACTCCGCAACGAGCGTGGTCTATCCAAAAGTGAGAACGTGGTCCGAAGCCAAGACCGCGCTTGAAGAACGCGCACCACCAGCAACACTGCCGTCAACGCAGACAGGCCGACCAAGGCTTGCCAGCTACGGTTGTACAGGGCGTATGTGCGAAGAAGTAGAACCACTGTTGCGATCATCGGATGGTGTCAGTGTTGGTCTCGGAATAGCGATATGGCCGGAACGCACGGGCCACGACTATTTGGCCGACGATGGCGTAACATTGGTGATAACTCTGCAGCTCCCGGCAGCTAGGGAAGGCGTGCCTGTATCAATGCGTGACAGCTTTTGAGAGCATTAGGAGGATGGACAAACTGCTGCTCTGATATGTCAGAACTCGCAATGCGTCGCACCTGGAAACTCGCTCACGGAGGGAGACAGGACAACGAAGTACTCCACAAGGATAGGGAGGGGTCCTAGGAGACCGAGATAACGGTTGAATACGAAAAGAACGGATATCGGGGAGATGCTAGCTCGTCTCCAAAAATGCTCGATCTCTGTGTCAAGCATCACACAATAGTCATAATACAACAACGCTGTAAAAAGTTATTTATGGCCACAGGTGGTGAGAATGCATCAGCTGAACCGACATATAGCGATGACTGTCAAAGTCCTGTTGAGCCAAAGCGAAGCAGCCCTGTAAGAGCATAGTGAGGGGAGGAACACGATTGCGAGGTTATACTAGCTTTGGGACGTACAGCGTGACGACTGAGGCTTGGAGCTCCAAATCCATAGCCGCTAGGGTACAGAGAGCGGACTCAGGGCTTTCGGCTTTGACCCTTGGGATATATACTGTCAGCTCATAGAAGAGACGTCTTGTGGCCCTGAATAGCCAGCAGCCTCATCTGCGCCGGAAATGTTCCGAATCAGACTTTCCAGCAAGCTATCGCCGTGGCTGGTTCGCAACGGAGAGACTGGGGTCACTATTTATTCCGACGACTTGTGCGCCTGGATCTTCAGCTGGCCTGAGGTGCATACCAGATCAGCTTCCATATGATGCGACGCAATCGCAGCAATTCTCCATTCATTGGGGAACCTAGGAGATCGAACCTCCGCTGACAGAAACAAGAGTGTGGCTGTGAGAAGCAATCAATGATATTAGAAGGGCCACAGAACCTGTACAAGACCCAGATGTAGGATGAAACTGTGCGGCGGAGGCGCTCATGTAGCATGAATGCTCCCACGGACACCGCCCTCGCAGCAAGCTATCAGCATCCTAACAGCCCCGGTCTGTAACCAGTGGAGCGTGCATCCATACACCATGTCCTTACAAATGTCATGACTGGAACGCGTTGCGTTTTTGGGTAATCTCCCTGTAATGCTCCAGGTCGGCGCAGATTTCATCAAAACTGCGAGTCCGGTCAGCCATCTTGCCGTTCCCTAACCCCGAAGCGCAGAGACATGACACTCACAGAGCAAACACAAAGCGTAGATTGTCATGGTGATACTCCGGATATCTCTCCGCAATGGTTCTCGTAATTTCCTCGAACACAACCTACTCCCGCATGAGCGCACTGATGCCTGATGAACGAGAAGAGCAACCTACTGCATAGCCTTCCTCATTGAGATGCAATCCATCTGTCAAGTACTTCTTCAGATCCGCCTCCACCTTCCCCGCGCCCTCCCAAAACTTTGTCCAAACATCAACGACTGCAACGCCCTCCTTCCTCCCCACCTCCTTCGCAGCTTCAGCATACGTCCGCGTTACCTCGAAGTTCCGATCCAGCTGCTGAGGAGGGTCCTTGGATGCCTGCCGCACAGACCATTGGATTGTGTTCACTGGTGGCGGCGTCAACAAGATCACACGGGTGTCTGGGGAGTACCGAGGGGACTCGGGGGAGGAGACCATCCAGATGAGCTTCGACAGGTTCGCCTTGTACCGCTCGAGCGGGACATGCTGCGCCTTGGGCGGGACTGCGGCGTCGTTTGCACCAAACCAGATAACGAGCAGGTGGACCTTGGGAACGTGCTGCTGCTCATGCTGTGTCGCAAAGATCTACGCGGGCCGGAGGATGTCAATGACTGCGATTTCCACGATCGTGAACTGATGTCACAAACCTGCTCGAATACTGGGATGATCCAGTCTGTGTTGTATCCACTGTATCCGCGATTGATGACATCCATCTTGCGGTTGTACACATCTGCACGCCGATCGGCGCGAGATCACCGATAACTGTTACAAAGTCGGTACGCGGCAGCCAGGACGCAAGACATACGTGCTAGCCGGGCTGCGATTCCATTGAACTCGTACCCGCCCTGTGTGATCGAGTCTCCGAGGAGCATGATTGCATCCTGTGCATAGGCTGCCATGTTTCCTGAGCCGTTCGATGTGACTGCGCCGGTGAGTAAAGAGCAAGTTGCACAGGCTGAGCCGACAGTGTCGGAGAAGGCCGGACACCGCGGCCCGACTTGAGGCAGCGAAGCAAGCTGCCGCGGCCGCATACCCGTGTCATGACCCATCTGACGGTTTCAATCGTACCACTGCACCTTCGCTTCATACTTCATTCATCGTTACGGTCGTTTCTTCAACGGATCTGGATCCTGCTCGATAAGACTGTTGGCTAAGCTCTAGACATGACCGACGTTGAGACTTATGGCTAAATCAAGGCTGTTGGAGTCGTCGTGAAGTCAGCCAGGTCGCCCGAGTGTTAATCAACCTCGCCGCTGGCGCCGATTGCGGTTCCTTCAATGGTACAGCGTGTACCTTGGCCAGGCCGATCGGGAGCGAGAATCTCGGCGCAGATGCTGGCATGCCTAAGTGGCATGTGTGTTGGTTATTGAGTGGGACTCTCCAGTTCTCTATTCTTCTCCTCTAATTATCTTGCTCCTTCGCCGATTACCAGATACCGAGAAGATCCGGAAGACAGTATATGTAGTACCAAAGCATCCGGAAGAGCACGTGGCGTCTGCCCTCCATCTCCGGATGTCGGTAGTGCGCCGTAAGGGTGCCGGAGTAGTACTGAATGGCCGTGGTCTTCGCAAGTCTGGACTCGAGTCTCAAGTGGATTATCCGGGAGTCACCCCGCTGCTCTCTTATCGGACATTGCAAGCTTACTGAACTCATCCGAATTGGTAACACGACACACGGAGCGTCGACGCATTTATAAACACCCGTACTCCCAGCAAGACGCAGATCGAAGGGTGCGCACAATTCACATGACGATATGTGAGGCGCAGCCTGGTAGAACTGACACACCATATTCGCCTGCGCAATTGAACCGTGGACAGATACACGTTTGACTGACCTGTTGTGAGATTCTCGGCACGTCACGGCATCATCCTGGCTTCGCACATTCGTGCGGCTGACTCAATCCGTGCTCTCTCGCGTCCTGCGGTCTTCGCTCGGCTCACATACAATGCTTCGTAAACCTCCAGAGGCTCCGTTCCCTTGGACCTTCCGAGATCAATGCACTGACACACTGACCGTATCAAGCGCAGCTACCCCAACTAGTGGGGCATATCCAGTGCGGGACCTCCAACCTTGACGTTGGGTCATGGAAATGGGCTCGTTTCGTCAACATCGCTGATGAATTGATCTACGGAGAAGCACGGATTATCACTGTCGTTTCGCGCTGCACTGAAGTTGCATGACTCTTCTGAGAACCGACCTCACAGAAGGTGACCGGGAACCTGGATACTCACGGCTCGGTAGTATTGTGTCGAAGGGACGTTATATGCAACGGGCCCTTTCGAGCCGCGACCCTCCTTGCGCCCTCCTTCTGCGACCACATTCGCTCAGGCATCGCTGCATCAGTGCTGGCCCAGTCGCGATGCTTACTCTGCAAGTGGCCAGCATTTTTTCGACCACAGTAGAGGCTACCCTCTATGGTATGTCCCACAGCTCAGATAGCGTTTCGCGAAGGGAACCACAATACTAAGTTCGATCAATCTCTTCTCATACCATAGGATACTCGGTCTTCATGTTCATGCTGGCCATGTGGATCATGCTTCGGGACAGAAGGAGGCGGCACATCAATCACTGGATGGTCGCTGCGGGGTGCGGACTGATAGCCTTAGCGACTGCAGTGCGTCTGAGTTTTTTTGCTCGAGTAAGACGTACTTACTCCTTGAGATACAGGAGATGGCTGTTAATATCGCCCGGGTGTATCAAGGATTTGTGTCGAAAGGTCCTTTCACAGACGGAGGACCAGAGGCCTACTTCGCCAACGTGTCGGAACTCACATTCGTTGTAAAGAGTTGCCTGTACAATGCCCAAACACTCATTTTGGACGCCGTCGTGGTGGGCTGCTCGCATTCTGACTTCAACACGCGTACGCTGACGTTCTGGGGCAGATCTACCGTACTTACGTGGTATGGCAGAATATTCTAGTATGTGTAGTCCCAATGATAGGGTGGTGTGGACTTTTCGGTATGGATTTCTGCTTGGCTCTCGCTCCTGCTGCTTACTCCCAGAGCGTTGACTTCAGCCGGCTCGATCGGTCTGAATGTTGCTCTGGCCACTGCGCCTCAGAAAGGAGACGTGTTTGCGGTTCAGACCGGTGAATGGATCACGTCAGTCTATGCGCTAACATTGGCCACCAATCTATCATCAACAAGTGCGTGATGAAAGTAGTTCTGTCTCTTACCTATGTGCCTGACAACGTGTTGGTGCAACCTACTCGCAGCCCTTCTTGCATTCAAGATCTGGACGGTCACTCGCCGATCCGCTCAGTACCGCTCTAGCAGCTTCCTTACGCCAGTGCTTTGGGTGATCATCGAGAGCGGAGCAATATACTCGATGACAATCACTGCAGCGCTCATCTCCTTTGTCGTCAAGTCCAATGGCGTGTATGTCCTGCTTGACATGGTGAACATCCCTTGTTGCCTCTAGTCATGCAACTTCCAAAATACTGACGCGCCCTCCTACCTCCGCAGATCTCACCCATCATCTCAATAGTCTTCAACATGCTCATAATTCGCGTCGGCCTCGCTCATGATTCCAGTTTCGGCACGAGTGGTACGAACGGCTGGGGCACCGCGATGATGTCAGACCGTGGCAGTCACCTGCGGCGACGTCTTGAGGGCACGTTCGAAATGAAAGACCTTAGAGTCGAGATCACCCAGGTCGTCGAGGAAGACTTTCAATACGAGCGGGAGCAGGAGCTGGATGCAGATGCCCTGGGACCGGGAACCCCAATGGACTCGCTCCCACCTACGGACCTGAAGGGAGAGCCCCTGGAGCCGAAGCGTGCAGAGTCTCTCAGGGAACCAGGGTACAGCGGCCTGTGTTCGGAGAAGGCCGAGAACGAAGCGATCGTTTGAGGCATGACTGTCGGTACCAGTAAGACGGAGTGCATTCGCCTGGGACTGGGGCATCATGGGTTTCAGGTCAGGGATGATGCAGTCTTTGCATTTGTTGTGCATTGCATGAATCGTGTGCCAATGATAATTGTAGGTTTGTTCTCATTAGGGTGCTTTCGCCCAGTTCGGTTGGCGTCTCTGCGGGTGCGGGGTTCCGTTCAGCATCTTCCCCAACCTCCGTCAAGCAATCTCCCTCTTCGACCAGTCCGTGCTAATGACTCCAGATAGTTCGGCAGCTCAGCTCCTGGAGCGTCCACTCACGCGTATGCCACAAAATCTCCCGAATAGCGGACTCGGGCTCTGTTGCTCAATGCCTCACTCGACGGGACGCGTAGCATATGCCCGCTCGGCTGTAGAGCGGATATAAGAAGTTGACGGACCCAGACCGCTCCGCGCGGGTCGTCTGGTCGATGCAGCATGAGCCGAACCACGTCCATCCGAAACCATCTGCGAGTGATCGACTGAACGGCTTCAATCTGAAGCTTTGCGCGCGATGAGAGTTATTGCATCAGCACCTCGAGTTGGCGCCGAACGTGCGAAAGGGTCGCATAGCGCGCAATTTCGTCCGTGACGCCCGAAATGCGTGCAGCTGGTGCGTGTTCAACGGCCTGGTTGATTCGTCTCTGGAGTAACAAACCCAGCAGTAGTTTCAGTAACAACTGGAGGTTATGATCGTTCTGGAGGCGACTTACATATCATCCACAGGAAATGGACGGGTTTTGATTTCAATACCTTCGACGGCTTCGGTCGATGCGTTGTATCGATCCTGGACAGATGCGTCAGTGTATGCACGTGTACACAAGCTTACCGGGAGTGTCCGCAACGGCTGTTACGACACGAATGGTGAAGTTCCTGGCATCCCACGGGCCAACTGCTAGCCTGACGTCGAGGTCAAAGCCAAAACATCAGACAATCCAATCTCGGCAGTACAGCATGTTTACTTATGATGCTTCGAAGCCGTCGAGAGCCTGCCGGAGTAAACCGTGAGCGTGTGGTGACGCATGTTGGACAGTCGATGAAGACAGCGCTTTCATGTCGTTGCGCTCAGCAGCCGTGCTATGTGATAGACTATGTATGCATCGCAAACGATATCTCTGTTCGACGCGAAGCAATTAGTATCAAGCAGTGGCGGAGAACGATGCTGGCGCACCTCTATAAAGCGCAATATGAAAGCAACTACAGTATGAGGGAGCTACACAGCGATGTACAGCGTATGATGCGATGTTCCAAGGGGTTTCAGTCCGGGCCACTGATAAATGATGCATGCGTGCAGATGTGAAAAACCAAACTTGACGTGAAGAGACCGTAGAGAGAACAGATCCAGCGTTCAGTCGAAATGCATATAGTGACCCTTCACCCGCGTCCGGCACATCTCGCAGTCAGCACGAGGGCCCATTGTGAAGCGTTGTTTCTTAGGAGGTCCAGGCGTTGTGTAGGGGTGCGGCGATTCGTCGGGAGGCATGGACGACAGGGGTGAAGGAGCCAAAGGGACGCCCAGGTTGTGAGCAGGAGCGAAGGGCGACCCAGAAACAGGCAAGGAGTCATCGTTGAGGATATTCGGAGGGGCCAATTGTACAGGAGAGGGGGTAGCAGCTTGGACATGTATGGCAGGTATCTGGAGCTGGTTCGGATTTTGGAATGACTGAGTGGTACCAGATCGTAGGTACACGGAACCACCTGAAGGGCGGAGGTATTGAGCCTGAGGCGTTTCGAGCAGTGTCGAGGACCGCCTTGTCGGTGAAATGGACATGGAATTGTCATTTTCACACTACGTGCACAGGATAGGATGAAGTCGCATTGGGATATCTGAGGCGTAGAAGAACATACCATTGGCTCATCGACCATAACTTCATCTATGCGCACCTCTTCTCCTTGAACCTCCACTGGCGTGCCTACACGACTTTGTTCCAGAGGACTCCCAAGACGCAGGTCCTGCGTCTGCGATACCCAGTCTTCAGGACTTCCTCGGAGGCGTGTCGCAACAGGATGGAAGGATGAGGGGGGAAACGGCATGCTCGTGTCGTGTCCGCTCGAAAACCGTTTCTACACCAATCAAAAAAGACAGCAATGGTATCAATTTTCACGCCTTATTGCGCGCTCCGGGATGGAGTTGAAAGCGGCGCACTCACCGAAGGGCGATCGTACTGTGTGGGAGAGGAGGGTGACCGGGCGCGTTTGGTCGTCGAGCGTGTACGGTAGGGCACAGGTGTCATATCCACCTCCATTGCAGGTGCAATATCTTGTACTGTCGCGTCAGGCCCCGGATGAAGGCGTCAAGCGGATCGAGGTACGTTAGGGAGACGCAAAAGGTCCGGCGGCGGTGATGTATATAGGGCCTGTTGCGTCCTCGGTGTAATTAAACAAGCCACAAGCATCCAAGGTTGTCCTAGAAGAGTAAAAAGCAGTCAAAGCATGAAAAAGGTTGGTTGAATCGCCAGTGGGAGGACGCGCTGTCTGTGGTTAAGGGTCAAGCTCAAGGATGGCATAGACGCCTTCGCCATTGGACTCGCCAGCTCGCGGGCCGATCGTCTCCGCCCCTGGAGGATAGATCACCCGACTGAAAAGCGATATATGAAATGACCAATCCTTGTAACCGAACAAGGTATCTGTGCGACCGAGGCCTTTATATCCTAGGACATCATGCCCAATGAGTTGTACATAACTCCTTACTACGCAGTCCGCTCATGCATAGCCCAAGGGATGATACGAGACAACTGTGCCACCGGACCTGATGAAGCATGCTTGCTCAGCGGTGGACAATTCGATTGATTTGTTCATTCTCTAACTCTACAAGTTTTCTACAACGTAACGGCGACCTACGGTCGGTACAGGTGGGTGATACACATCGAGCGCAAGCACGAAACCGGCACAGCTGACACAAAACTCTTCGTACAACAACAGCACAGCCAGGAGCAACTCAGCCAGATCAATCCTACAATCCAGAACGTCCACAATAGTATGCTTTTGACACTCGCAAGCGGCAGTCACTGGGAAGGATCGCCAAAGCACCACTCGGCGACGAAGACGACGACGCTCAACCCTGGACGTTCAAGTTCGCCCTTGGGAGCCTCGGCTCGTCAGGCTGATACGGCTCGCCGCACTCCGTGCGCATCAGATCATTGATCCACGCGCCCTTCGGCTGGAGCTTCACCCCGCGCGACACGTACATCACCGCGAGGTACATCCACGCCGCCGCGTTGCCTACCGTGCCGACCTCGTCCGAGACGTGCGTGCGCGCGTACTCGGACATCTCGTCGTACAGCTCGTCGTTCGTGTACAGGTCGAAGATGTGCTGCGCGACCGCCGCGTTGTCGCCCGGGTCGCACAGGTAGCCGCTCTTGCCGTGCACGATCTGCAGCGGGATGCCGCCGGTACGGGAGGCGATGACCGGCTTGCCGGCGTGGAGCGCCTCGGAGACCTTGACCTCGAAGCCCTCACGGGTCGAGAGCTGGAGGGCGAACTTCGAGTTCTCCATAAGGGCGTTCAGGACTATGGTCGTGCACGTCATTTTAGCGACACATCGAAACCACGAACAGGATACTCACGCTGGTCGCTCGGAGGGCAACGCATGACGACGAAGTCCTTCGCGTACTCCGCGTACTTGCCATGAATGAGCTGCATCGTCTGGTCGTAGATGATGCTCGCGTCGGGGTCGTCGACTGCGCCGTGACCGCAGATGAGCATCTGCGGCGGCTCGATGTCGGGCTGCTTCTCGCTCAGGAGCTTGCGGAAGCGGGCGTATGAGTCGATGACGTTCGGGATACCCTTCGACGGGTCGAAACGGGCGATCTGGACGATGTAGTCGCGCAGGGGCCAGCCAAGCTCGGTCATCTTCTCCTTGACGCAGAGCGAGCGGAACTCGCCCATGTAAAACTGCGAGTCCCAGTCTTCGAGGTGCTTGTTGAGGCCATCGAGCCAGTCGGTTGCAGCTCCGAGGAGCGCGAGCTTCTCTGGCGGAACGTCGCTGGGCACGAACTTGTTCACCGGGTGAGAGATGAACAGGTCTGCGTGTTGGATGTTGTTCCAGAGGTACTTCCAGACCTCCTCTTGCGGCGAGCCGGCGACATGGACGAGGTCACTTCGGATCTCGATGTGTGAGCGGTAGATGATCGGCAGGTCAGGGCGAACGCGCTTGATTAGCGGGATAAGTCCAGGCATTTGCGGGTCATCTGCAGCGAGTACAGAAGAAGGTGTTAGCATCATGGGGGCGAACTAGCTCAGTAGGGACTGACCGATGAAAGCAATGTCGACGCCACCCGGAGCCAAGGGCCCACCCTCGCCGGTCCATCGGAGACCGTTCTTGAGGATCCAGGAATCGAAGTTGTCCTTGGCCTCCTTCGTCAAGCGGAGGCTAGGATCTGCGACGCCTTGGAGAATGTTGTGGTTGTTCTTCGTCGTCCGGAAGACGCTCGGCGAAGGGTTGGGAACATACCTGCAGGAGGGGTCAGTTTATTCTGTCAGTCCCTGGGCTGATCTAGTGATTGGGAGCGTATTGTCTCGATTTCACATTCTTAGCGCCCCGTAGACACGAGTAGATTGTTCGATGGTACGAGGGCCGGGGCCAAGACTCACCATGCGCAGTCGACATCGAGGAGGCTGAAGAAGCGGATGAGCGCGTGGCGCATCTACAAGTGAGAACACCCTTGATTAGAGACGGCGTATGCCCAAGCAAGGGAAGAACGCACTAATGCAACTCCTCCTGTGGGCAGGCAAAGCAATATCCAAATCAGATAAGACGTCCGTAATGGAGATGACGGGGCTTAACGCAGATAAGACGAAGAAGCGCGTAAAAGCCATCAACCCCACAATGCGGGGTAATCACATGAATGCACGACTCGATCCAGGGAAGCCCAAGGACCCTGAGCCGCCCCGAATAACAGTCCGGCTCTCATGGTGAAGCAGGGTGTGGCCGAGGTCAGACGAAGCACACTGAAAGGACTACCCACCTCCTTGAGGAGTGGAGGAAAAGAAGCCCATCTTGATCTTCTTCTCGCGGAGCTCGTCGGCGAGCTTGATGACAGAGTTCCACGTCCCCTTGCCGACCGACTGGCGGTAGACGTCGATATCGTCGATGAGGTGGATTTTGCCGCCAGCATCGACCGCGACCTGGTTGCGGGGGCCGATAGACAGACGCGGGTTGTTGCCGGGACCGAAGTACATGATGCACTTGCGGGCCGCAGAGTCCGCCTGCTCATCCACCGTACGCGGGATCGGGAGCTTGTTCTGCGCGCCAGCGGAGAGGTTGGTTTGACTCCCCGGAAGCTGCTTCGGGTCGTAGTAGACCGTGGGGGTCTCCGCGCCGGACGGGACATAGGAGCCGGTCGTCGAGGAGATGCGGTGCTTGATGTTGGGCCGAGTAATTGAGTCTGTGTGGTAGGGCTTGATGTTGAAGACGATAGGAACGATGTCCGTCTCTAGCCAAAGACGCGTGCAGAGGTTCGGTGCCTAACGGACCGGTCAGAACGCCTTGTGCGACAAGAGGAAGAACGCTCGGATTGGGTAGGAAGAAAATAGCGCGGCTTCGCGAGAATCGTTCAATGCGTCACTATCAATGAACATGCATTGCAGCGAGCTGCTTAAGACCTACAAGGTCTGCGACGATCTTCGATAGGCTTCTCTTGTCTCACGGAGACTCGTAAGGACTCGACGATGACTTCGGAGAAGCCTGAAAACGAGATCTAGCTAGGGCCTTTCCGGTTTGCGCGCCGCAGAAGCCGCAGAAGCACACGGGCAGCGCATGTCTCCCAACCGATCCGTTCGGGATGCGGCACTCGCGCACAACATGTTCTGAGAGCAAGGCCCTCGCGCGAAAGGAAAGGGGGGGATCTTTTGAGAGATGCGACATACCTCTCGAAGCAGGGCGACGGTGACACCAGCACCGAGGAACTTGCACATGTGCTCGGTGGAGAACTTGCGGAGAACGTCGAGGACATGCTTCTCGATGTTGCTCGCTTGCTCCTCCGGGTCCTTGGGATCGTACGGGATGGTCGAAGAGGCGAAGTCGGTGTTGTAGACGGAGTCGTGGATGGAGATCGCGATCTCAAAGCTGCTGTTGTTGTTGACCACGGTGCCGGCTATACCAGCCCACATCGGCTAGAGGATCAGGATAGCCGATGCCGATGAGCATCAGCGGGGCGGGCGATGGGAGATTAGATCGGTGCGCACCGTGAGGCTGGAATATGCCTGGATGTTCGGCCTGTTGGCCGAGACGACGCTCGAGAGCCTGCGGCGGATGACATCGGAGGGCTTGGACTGGAACTGGTGGGGCGGAGACATGGCTGGACGCTGCGAGGGATGGCGCACGGAAGAGAAGGAGAGATGGGGCGATAGTGGGTCTTATATAGTGTTCAGGAATCAGGATAGGCAGGCGTGGGGGCGCGCAAGGGACATGAAGAAAGAATCCTGGCCCGAGGCGGCCCACTGCAGCCAGGCCATGGCCCATGGCCATCCCGATCCGCCACAAACAGTGCCAATCAGCCGAGAGCGAGTGGGTGAGGTCATCCTTCTCCGCCTCTCCACCCTGCCCCCGCCCCTCTCCCCGACGACGAGCTCCTCACCGCCCCCGTCGGGCCCCGTTCACGGCCGCTCTATGAGCATCAACGTCCCAGAACGGCACATGTACTGTTCCCTGTCCCACAGCACCCGCCTTGTTGACCGCTTGAGAACTCGCACACCTTCTGTTCTTCGCCAAAAGGTCATGCGTCCACCTCCCTCCTGCGCATGTTGCGAGCCCTCCCTGCGAGCCCCGTCTCAGCCTGTGCTCTCTCGCCGAGCCCACTCTCGTCGGCATTGTACCGGCGACCTTTTCATGAGAAGCGTGCTCGCAACGTGCTCTAACGCCTGCACTGGTGCCTGGCGTAGACTTGTCTTGTAGCCGGTGGGATCAGAGCGACTCGCAGGGTCCACCTACTTCCAGGGCACCTTCGCAGTCGTTGCAAGCGAACGCATCCTGAGAAGTTCGCGTTATGGCCGACGATGCCGCACCCCCCAGTTCGAAGGACACTCGAGACATGCCACACTCGGCCGCTGCAGCCCTTATGCCCGCACGTCGTGCCCACCGAGTCATAGGACTATAAGCGAGGATTTCTTGGAAGGGGGCGAATGAAATGGATTTCTGTTGCAATGCCGTAAGGCGCTGAAGCGCTACACGTGGAGTGGAACGATGGTCGATGGAAGTCTGCATGGCCACAGTATGGCCATGTCACAAGTTCTGCCATGCCACGGGTCGCACTCAGATTAACTCCAGGACTCGTACTTTGGAACTCTTTGGAACGGGATCTTGGGCGGATTCGGTCTAGACACGTAACACGTGACGTCACGCGCGTCTTCCCCTCTAATGAGCGCGTCGCGACGCGTCCTGCGCAGCCGCATGCTGCACTGATCGCCACCATCGATATTCATCACTCGTCGGTCTAGTTCGTACCAGACATACTACTTATGTAGAACCTGAAGGGCTTCCTCCTCACGGACTCTGCTTATCAGCCGCATGTTGACATGCCGCAGGTCGCACGAGGAGATCGGAGCATTAGCTGGAATTTGCTCGTATGCCGAGTGCAATTATGGTATAGAATACATCAAATATACAACTAGGAACTCCCGCTCTCGAGATCGGAGCCACACAGACGACTATCAAAACTCAAACCAGTCTTCTGAGTGTCCTCCTCCCGGCGATGGAGGACGCCACTCTCCAACGACTTCTTCGCCGGCTGCACCATGCTGGACGTTCCCAGCCTCGTGGTAGCTGCCCACGCCGATTTCCTCTTCCCCATCCTCATCCCATTCTTCGCCTTCTTCGTCGTTGCCCTCGTGAACGGGGACCTGGCGACTATAGATCTCAGGGCCCCCAACGCCGTCTTCCGCCTCCACATCGAAGTCGCCGTCCGGGTTCAGCAGCCTGGCCAACGCTTCCATGTTAATCTTCTTCGAGCCTCGTGGCTCCGACCCGTTCCCCTCATCGACGTCTTCTCCTGCCGGCGACTTTCTCTTCCGCTTCTTCCCTTTCGCTGACGATTTCTCCACCGGGACGTTCCCACCATCGTGCTCCTCGTCGTCGCTCTCGACGTCCCATCCCATGGCGATCCGAACGGCCTCGGCTTCCTCTGGCGAGCGCATGAGCCCCTCGAGCTCGTCCTCGGCGAACAGCTCCTCATCGGTGATGTGCCGCTCCTCCGTCCCTCCCCGCGCGGACGCAAGCAGCTGCAGGCGAGTGGGCGCACAAGCGAACGCATGCGGCAGAGAAGACGCGTCCGCCGTGAGAAGATGCGTGAGCAAGTCGGGCGGACCAGCGACGGGGACTGGCGGCGGCGACGATATCGCCGTCGAGAGCGGGTTGAGGAGAAACTGCGAAGCATCGACGACAGTCCTCGGGTGGCGCGGCTTGGCCTTCTTCCGAGGAGGGGTGTCGTCCCCAAGGACGGACGTCCCCCGCGGGGACCTTCCGCCAGCCTCGCTTCCGTCACGCTCGTCTCCGCTGCCACTCGCGCCCGCGTCCTTCTCGTCGAGTTCGAGCCGGACGAGCGGCCTCCCCTCGTGCTCGACTCGCTTCCGCCAGATCTCTTCCTGGAACCGCACGACGTCCTTGAGCCCGCGGGCGACGACGACGCGCTTCGCGACCTTGGAACGCCCCTCGCCTTCCCTGCCTTTGGCCCGCTTGCGCTCGTGCGCGTCGAGCCAGGGCACCTCCCGGATCCATTCCTCTACGAGGTCATAGATCTGCTTGTACCGCTGCATTACCACGCCCTTGCCGGCCCCCAGACGTGCACCGAGTATCGGAGCGAACGCACCGGCGTTCGGCAGCGATGACGAGAGCTCAGCTTCGAGGGCGAGCATGAACAGCGCGCACGCGGTCGGCGCCGTGGGGAGGTGGGCGAAGGTGTGCGTGCGTGCAAGCAGACTTGAGAGCGCTGTCGCGGTATGGATAACACTGGGGAAGCGCGGAATGAGAGGAGAAAGCACCTTTACGAGCTGCGCAGGCAGTGCAGCGGCCGCGCCGCCTGAGCCGTCGAGCAGGGACACGAGGTACGTCTGGAGCACCGGGAGATGGACGGCGGGGTCGGTGGTGGACAGGCCGAGCTGGAGCAGCGCTATGACCTTGGTGAACGCGCGGGAGATTGCCACTGGCGGTTCGTCGAGCAGGTACTGCGAGACACGGCGGCACGTCAACACATGCTCAAATGCCCTGAAACAGCTGAGATACCACGCAGGAACAGGGATGCTAGAGGGGATACTTACTGCAATGTCACGGATGGAGTCGCTTTTGTGAGACTCGCGCAGAGCGATGGCGAGTGCGGCGCCTGCGGTGAGCTTGGCTTTGCGGCCCCAGCGATACTCTCCGAGACGCATGGCCTGATCGAATACGCCTTGCGCGCGGGTGGTCAACCCGGGATTTGAGAGACGCGTGGCAATAGTTCGTATGAACTCGTGCATAGCGATCTGCATACGCCGATGAGACGACTAGTCCAGCAGAGCATGACGATGTGGGACTTACCGTGTTCTTGCGATCCCGCGACTCCTTTCCCTGGCCGGACAGTGCCCAGCCGTTTCGCCCTCGCAGCGTGCTCCCCCCGGGTATGTTAGCCCAGGGCGCATATTCGCGACCGGATACATCTGTATTCTCGAGGTGCGACGCGAGCACGCTTTGTGTCGGGTCGGCGAGCGTACCGCACTGTAGGCAGATGGCGGAACCGACGTCTGCGTCCCATACTGTGGATGCACCGCACTCTTCACATCTTCCGCTCATTCCTTAAGGCTCCGGACAGCCCGAATACGATGCAGTGTAACGACCTTGACGACCTTGACGACCTTGACGAGGAAGTGCGGAGGTGGTGACGGTCGGAGGACAGGAACGCTGACCGACTAGGCGTGTTCAATTCTTGTCGCTCGCTCATTTCCTCGCGCGCCTACCGGGCGTCTGCCTACCTGGATTCAAGGTCAGATCAAGCGCCTGTAGCACAGCGAGCAGAGGTGCGCAGGCAGCGGGTGCAACACGACCGCATGAGCGTCGCGAGCTGGGACTGAGGAGCGACGCGAAAGCTTAACGATTTGAAAGATAGTGAGCTCCATGACTCGAGACGCGGAGTCGTCCCGCAAGGTTTTGAGTCCAATTGCCATCAGGCTTACAGTGGCAACCCCAGGTGGCCAGAGAAGCGTGTCGTGCCGAATCTGGTTCCGATTTGGGCGCATTGTGTACAATTATTCTCGGTCAACAAGCCTATAGCGATCTGCCGACGTCTCCATCCACTTTCTGGACAGATT